GCCCCGGCTGCAGCCCCGGCTGCAACCCCGTCCTCCGCCACAGCCGCAGCCGCAGCCGCAGCCGCAACCGCAGCCGCAGCCGCAGGTGGAACCACAGCTCCAGCCACAGCAGATACAGTGGGGCATCTTGCAGCACCCCCTGGCGATGGCGACGGTAGCCACCCAGTCAGCTCCACCACACCCAGGGACTGAGGATACCGCCACACCAGTCAAAAGGTAAAATGAAGAGGCACATCGAACACTCGAACTTTATTACCTTTGTGTTGCCTTTATGGATGAGTTTTGCTTTATTTTTGTCTTAAATGGCTGTGTATCTTGCATGGTTGGGTGTACAAACTATATAGAAGCACATTTAAATGGGAAGCCATTTAAAGGAAGAGAGAAAAGAATGCACTAAGCACAAGTCACCGTGAAGTTAAAATCCAAATCCAAGCTCTGCAGTTCACTATTTCCTTGTCATCCCCTCCCCCAGCCGGTTTCCCAACGTCGCTGAATCTCCATTCCCACATCTTTAAAACATGACTAGGGATAACTAGTTCTTAATTTTATTGTCAAGGGTAAATGTAAGTTAGATATATTAAATACTGACATTTAAAGTTAATTTTAATTAAATATTAAATATTTTAAGTAAACACTTCGGCTGAATATAAAAGAGTGCAAATAATAACTACATTAAAGCCAACCTTAGTCAAATATGCCAGAGAATTTTAGCTCTTCAAAAGAAAGTCAGGGTAGAATTTTAAAAATGAGCAAGAAGTTTGAAAAACTGCATATATCCTGTTGGTATTCAAACTGTTTACATGTATATATGTATCAATTATTTAGAGTTGGATATAGAAAGATAATTTTATTTCTCTAATAATAAGTAGTGGTCCCTTTACCTTAGATGTACCATGTAGTGGATTGTCTAGCGCATAAAACTGGATGCATCACGTGCATTGTAATTCATTCTTCAGTTACTGAGGAACGATTTGAACATATGATTCAGTCTCATTTGCCAGACAATATTTTTCAACTACATTATTCATGTGATGCTTATTATTGTGTAAACACTTCATAACATACAAACGCACCTGCTACCTAAGTCATCTTGCTCCTCTCTTCTGTCTCAATGATTTTGTCCCCATCTGACAAAATAGCAATTATAAGACAAAAGAGGTGAAAATTCCTTGACTCGTAATAGACAAGTTAATGAAAAATGATAAGTTTAGATGAATGGTTGAAATAAATAACAAGAAATTGTAGGGAAAAGACCAAAACTTCCTTTAAATATGTCTGCTAATTAAAAATGATTTCTGCAGCTCCAAAAGAATACATTTTAGATTTACAGAGTAAGTTAAAGAGAAAAAAGACAAAACTGAATAGATGAAATCCTGTCTCTCAAAACAAAAATTCAGTAAATCCAAGTTTGTGGATAATACCTTAAAAAGCTAAATTATCACATCTAAGTGTAAGTTAAAAAATGCCATCTTCCTGATTTTCTGGAAAGCTTTCTTGAAATGAATGAGTTATGGAAAATTATTTGTTATTGTAGTTGAAAGGCTTTATTTATTAAAATATTTTTTACTTACCATCTTCTTGGATGATTGGGGAAATGTCTTTCAGTTAATATATCCAAATAAGACATTAGTCATCTCTCCAAGCCTATCAGAACCTTTACTGTTTTATGTATAACTCATTTATTTATTTATTTATTTGTTTATTTATCTATCTATTTATTTATGTATGTATTGATTTTTTATTGCATGGCCTTATAAGCCAAAACTACTTGCACTGTGAACTCTGAGAAATTCTTAGAGCAATTCTCAGAGCTTCTAAATAGATGGTAGCCACCCAATCTAAGGCAATAGGAGAAAAAAGCTGGAGGTAGAATGAATGCTAACACTAGCACATGGATTTAGATTAAATAGTTTCATCTGTGACATTTCAGATCCTGTCATCGTTCCTTTGCTTTCTATCCTCCCATGCATCTGCGTACTCTGGAACTGAGTTTACTCTATATTGTTTCGCTATAAGTTGTCCTTTAAAATTTTTATTGAAGTATCATTAGTATACATCGTTGTTTGTATTCTGAAAGTATAGAACCCTACCCGCCCAAGGGCTGTTTGATGTCTCCTTTGGCTTGGAGGTAGTGTATCCCCAGCCTCCTTCCACCTCTCCATTCAGATTTTTGGCTTTGCTAGAATTTAAGGATTGATGTTCCCTAGCTGTCCTCAAGGTTTTTCTCATGTCCTCAAGTTGGATGAAAACCTCAAATGGGAACTTGTTTCCACCCTCTGATCATCTTTAGTACTTAGCCTAAACACCATCCCTTTGGAATCTGAGTGTATTTCTATGTCACCCTTTATTAGAACATATTTAAATCTAGTTCAGTGTTATTGATGGTACAGATACAGTAGTGATAGGAAAAGTAAGAATTGAAATGTTCCTTGTAAATATCTTCTTCATTTTTTAAAATTCTTTAAACAGATCATATAACTCTGCATGCATTTTATGTCATTTGTACTTTTACTTCAAATGTTAAAGCTTATTATATAAAAATTACAGCTATGTATTAATGTATATTTATAGTCTATAATTCTACCTGTTGAATATAGCAATTGCCTTTAAATGGTAATTATTATAAGTATACTTTATATATATCATATATACACTATTAGTAAATTTTATCAGCATTTGAATACAGTTTTTCTTTAAGCAAAGGTTATATTTATAGTAAAAAACAAGGAAAGTAAATGAATTTTTTGTTTGCTGTGAGCCAATGAAATATTCCTTAAGTTGTGATTCATCATAGGTCACTGTAATGAAATGTAACACCAAAATTTTACAAAATATTTTACAAAATTTCAAGACCAAACTGAAGAGCAAAAAGAAGATAAAACACTAAGACCATCTATATCTTATGGGTTTGTATTTCTTAAAAGTTTTGCATTTGGGGAATATATAAATCTGTGCAAATAAAATACTTTCCTTTCTTTGTTGAGCTGTTATTATATCATGCAATAATAGTTGGAAGGAGTCTTATGAGATTGGGGTGGTAAGTTTTGGGATGATAGGACTTAAATGTAGGTATGACGGGGAGATGGTGAGTTGTTCAATGAGCACTGCACTGTGTTGGTTTTCCCAGATGAAGAATTTCTAGAGATTTGTTGTACAGCAGCATAAATATGCTGAGTACTACTGAACTGAATACTTTAAATGGTTAGGGTGGAAATTTTATATTATGTGATTTTTCTACCACATTTAAAATTTTCAAGTAACAGTAAAACAGATGCATTATATAAAATTCTCCATTTTCATGGGTCCTCGGGAATCTTAGTCACCTACACTCTAGAGAACAGTTTTTGAGAACAGAGCTTCTTTGGAGCCACTCTGATTTCAAAACCTTACTCTGCCACTTAATAGTTATGGAATCATGGAAAAGTTTCTTTCCTTTTCCTTATTTATGTTTGCATAGAAGAACTAGAGTATAGGCCAGAGATGTGGAGGGTGAGAGGATTCACTAGAGATAGGGGAGCAGAACAGACAGATCTACTGAAATACACTGCTGAGGGGAGCAGCAGGAATGACAAGAGAGATCTGCTGTGTAGGTTAGACCCCTGCCCGGGGATTGAACTCAGGCCTAAGTGGTGACAGTGCTGAGACTTAAGCCAGAGGCCACCAGAGACGCCCATGAGTAAGTCTCTTAACCTCATTGTGCTTCACTTTTTCAACTTCAAAATGAAGATATTTAAGAAAGCCTTTTCCCACCTTTCTTACAAGGATCAAAGAAGATAGTACTTATAACCCACTCAGACATCCCTAAGATAAACTCTCCAGAATAACTGAAATGCTGGGGTTATTTTCACCAAAATTAAAGGATATGTTTTAGGTGCTCTGACACAATACAGAATTCTGGCAAACCTAAAATCACTCTGGTAAGCAACAGAGACCACCTAGAATTAGAGCCAATTCTCCAGTGCAAATGAATGAGATCCATGTACTGTTGATTGATACAATGAGGCAATATCAATTTCTGAAACTGGACACTTCAAACAAAATGTGGTTTCTAGCATAAGGCCCCAAATCAAACATGCCGATGGTAGACCCCTGAGTTGCAAATCAAGTTGCCTTACATAGCCTGCTTCCATTTAGTTGGCTGCCAAGACTTTATGATTTAGTGACTGATGAACCCCTTAGGCAAAGGGGAAGGCCAGTGAGTACACAGTGTTTCAGAATGGAAGGGAGTACAGTGGAGGTTCTAATCAAAATCAGCAGTGCCCAACTCCTCACCTAAAATGTACTAGTAACAATAATGAGAAAGGGGTATTGATGTCTTTCATTCACTCCTTCACTCACAAATACTCACTGGGCACTTACAGGGCAGACTATCTTGAGACTAATGGTAAACAGTAAAAAGGGCATGGTGTTTCTCAAAAGCTTACAGTCTCGTACCTTAAAAACGTATGTGTGAACAAAGTAGAGAAAACTAGCTTGGCTTTTGAATCAAATTGCATTTATCAAACATAACTCTACATTAACCTTTTAATTTTTTAGTTATATTTCAAGATTATGGCATTCAGTGATCATTTTAAGAAACACTACAATTTAGGATTTAAAATGGAAATAGCAACAGACCTCCAGATGTAGTGCTGACATAATATCACTTTTTTATCACTTGCCCTCATTTCAGCTTAATAAGCTCTCTTGGCTCTCATCTTTCAATGTTTAATCCAAAGCAATTAAACTGATATGCAAATGCCATCTCCATGGCTTTAAGAGTGACACTTAACACACAATTTCATTATAATAGGCAAATGGAATGTTTGTAGAATGATCAGCTCATTTTTATTTTTAAGAGATAGGCTTTATTTGCAAAGTAGCTTATATATAAAATGTCCACACAAATTGTATCTGTTAAATGTCATGTGAAATAACATTTGTCATGTATGCTGAACTTAAAGTCCATACCATATGGTCTTTCTACTTAAAAGTATACTATTCCTTTGCTCAGCCCCTACAGAAATAAATACTTTTAGCCAGTGTTTCTATTAGCATAAAGAAGAAAATTAACAATGTGGGTTGTATGTGTATATTTAAGGTGTTCTCTTTTTTTATGATATAGTTCTAAGAAAGGAATCAGGAGGTTAGTGTGGAAATGGCCTGATGAAGATGGAATCAATTAGTTTAGCACGTATAATAGGTTGGTTATATTAATGGTCACAGTTCTTCACTCCTGCCTGTATCCACACCTTTGCCAAGCCTCCACTCTGAGTCTGAGTCTACTATGTGACATGTCTTGGCCCACGGGAAGTTGGAGGTCAGGAAGACTGGGCTCAAATCAGTACTAACAGATCACTTTTTCTTTGTTGCACCTCTACCGTTGACATGAGAACATGAAGCATCCCTAAACTAGCCTCTGAAATTTGAAAGTCTCTCTCTTTTTTTATTTTTAGATTTATTTTAATTCTTTTTTAGTTTTAAAATAATACATATTTTTACACCATTCTTCATTATGTGCATTTTTTCATCTCAGTTGTAATTCTCATGGGCTCCCCACTGCCAAATCACCCATGTGCCATCACCATTGTCTAGTGCATTCTTCCCATGAAATTTGAAAGTCTCAATGCCAGTTTCTAGCCTTCCCATTTATCCCATGTGAGGCCATCCTAAATCAGTCAACATCCTAAATCAGTTGATTTTCAGAGAGACGGTCAGCTATGTCTGGCTAGATTTAGGAGACAGAATAGTTTCACATCTCTAAGAATATTTTTTTTTGAAATCGCCAGTTAGGGGGAAAGACATTCTGTAGGATGGTGTATATCACTGTCTTAATATTTAACAGATTTCTATTAAGCATTTTTGTTATATATTCAGTAACAACATTAAACACTCAATTAAGAAGAGGTATCAGAATTCGAGCTTTTTTTCCCACAAAGAAAATGCTTTTCAGTTAAATGACTTGGTCTAGTGGCTGAAAACTAATTTGACGGACAAATTAATGTTAACAATAAGTGCATTTTCATCAACACATTCACTCAGTAATATATATTGTAATACAACTCTGGAATTATAAAGATGTATGTTATAAAATAAGCTAAAATGTTCACAGCATATGTTGATGTGCTTGTCTCCATATGTGCTGGCCTCATCAAGTCAATCCCAGAGCTGTGCTACACTGAATATGCCCTTTCAATATTGGAATTAATGGTTCACAGAAGTTATTTTTTTCGCTCTTGATTCTATGGCTCTATTTCCTACCTTTTTAAAAAAGATTTGCTTATTTATGCATACAGAACTAGGTACAAGTCAGAGGTGCAGGGGCAGTGGCTTCACCAGAGACAGAGTGGGGAGCAGGTCAAGGCATATCAACAAAGTACACTGCTGAAGGGAGCAGCTGGCAGATCAGGAGAGGTCTGCCACACCATGTAGAACACCTCCAGGGCTGGGGATCGAACTCGCACTGAAGTGGCTGCTACTAGCTTGCAGTGCTGTGTCCGCACCCATTGTGCCACCAGGGAGGGCCCCTACTTTTTAACCTATATTAATAGGTTATTTTATTTAGGTAGTTCAAAGTCCGCATAAACTATGAATCTAGTTTAAGTCATGGTGATCCCAGAGAGATGACACATTCGACACTTGCCTTCCCTTCTAGGCCTTCAAGAATCTTCCCCAAATGACAAAAACCAAGTATACAAAATGAAACAAGGTACCTTGAGCAAGAATCTTGACAAAACAGAAAGCATCTTTTTACTGTCTGTTGTATAACCCCAGACACTTGAATCCTCAACCAGTAATATTTTTTTGGTAAATAAAAGCACCCACCTGGTGACACAGCGGGTTAGGACACAGCCCTGCAAGGGAGCTGCAGCCGCTTCAGTGTGAGTCCGATTCCTGGATCCCGAACCCCAGACCCTGGACCCTGGAGGTGACCCACTTGGCAAGGCAGACATCTCCTGTTTTGTCCACTGCTCCCCTCAGCAGTGTACTTCATCGATCTGCCTGTTCTGCTCCCCACTCTGTCTCTGGTGAATCCTCTCACTGCCTCTGCACCTCTGGCCTGTACCCCAGTTCCATATGCATAAATAAATAAATCTTTAAAAAATAAAAGTGTAACATATATGTGTGTGGGTGTATGTACATGTAGGTATTTGTATATTTGTCCACAAAAATCATCTAAGTTGAAAAAGCAATTGTCAAAACTTCCAGGAGAGAAAATATATAATAAATAAAGTAAAAACCTCAAGGTACAGGTTTGAAGCCACATTAAATATATCTAATAAGAAAATATAAAGAACACA